TTTGATTCCCAACAGATTAAAAGAAATTTGAATGAAAACATTAATCTATATGATTAGAGCAAGCAAATGAGAATTAAAGAATTAATTTAAAAAAGTATACATGTATAAAGCGACGTACAGTACCTCCCTATATTATAGGAATAGATATCCCATAATAAAGATCTTTTTTTAAAAATACTAGGAATATGAAAGTGCTAAGACGCTGAAACGCTGACACATTAAAAACTCTGATTAACTTTGATTAACCGAAGCTTATTGAATCTCTGAGCGTATTATTTTCTTTATGGTCCGAGTAATAGTAAATAATTTCAAACGTAATTCAACAGGATGTAGAAATATTTAGTCATTTCTACACGAAGATGTTGAGTGACTAAGTTGTGCGAAGGGACCCGGTGCCGATTGCGTTTTTACTCCTGTTTTTACAGACAGCGATATCTTTTGATTTGCAGGTGACGAATTTCAGTATCCAACACCTGGCCACTCGTCCTGAGGGACACATAGATCAGAAGTAAGGATGGCCTTCCACTGGGATAAGCTCTCGCCAGCGGAATTCCAACAACTTCAGGACTTGGCAGCTTGTAAGTAACAAAAGGAGGAAACGGAAAAGGAAGTGCTAAAACGTGTAAAATAATGCGGATAAATCACAATGGAGAGCGCTCGGCGCTCTCCTTTTTTTTCCCTTTTGAATTTTTTTACAGATCATAAATCCCAAAGTCCGCGTTGCTGATGAAGTTTTAACAAACTTTGACTTATCCAGCGTCGGCAAAATTTAGTATAAGCAACTTTATATACACCCGGCTTAATTTTCGCTTAATAGACGCTGGTTATTAACTTGTGAACACTTAACGAAGATTAGTCTCTTAATTAATTATCGATATACGAGCTAATTTCAAAGTTCTGAATAAGAAATATCATTTGATAGAAATTTGATTGAAAGAACTGATCAAATAGAAGTTCCAAAATTTTGTCAATATTCAATAACGTTCACAATTATGATGCGGTTTATTCTTAACGAAAGTAGAATATTTATCGTAATTTTATTTCTATTTGTTTCAATGCCAATGTCAGTGCATTGTTTTCACGTTTTTCTCGACATTTCCAAAGTGCAATCCCGAGGCTATACTTAATTAAGCGATCATTCACAGCGTCGCGCGAATGAATCGTATATACTGTGTGTAATTTTGTTTGTTCCGGATCGGATCAAATGTGCGCGATAATTTTATTGCGAGTTTACTCATTGAATACAAATGACTTCTCCGTGGTGTCTGTTGTGTTCTCTACAAAAGTTAAAACAAACATAAAAAAAAGTGCCTTTTGTTCGTTGCAATGGGAGTAAGTAAAATTACGGCGCGCTATCGGGTGACTGTAATCGTTGCACAAATTGAATCATGCAGGGAAATTAAGTTATTTGAACAACGAAAAATAGTACAATGATATTATCCATTACTGTCAAAGTGTAAACCAATACATAAGAAAATATGTCGTGATAAAAAGCCCTGACATTTCGCCGAGATATTTTGTAATTATACATGTTCTTGATTAGAATAAAACAGCACGTATTTTCTTTTTGAAATGCATAAACATAAACTTCCCTACTTATGCTTATCATAAATTATGTAGACGCAACAGAGTGAATATTCTCAAATTATATATGAGTACCAAAGGCACTATCTTTAATTACAGATAGCACTTAACTGAATTAAATATAACGGAAATGAAGTGGTAATTGGCTCTGCTCAATTACGTAGAATGAAAGTCAACAACTGGAAGTTTGTTGAATGAAACCCATTAAAAATACATCAAGATGGATATATAAAACGTAAATACTGTCACGTTGGAAAGGGAAATATCGAATAGTCGGCAATTTATACGCCTTTGCTTGTTCTCTTCCGTTATAAAGCGTTATGCATATTGCCCGAAATAAGTAGTTCATAAAATAATTTGCATTGGCTTTAATTAAGAGAAATGTTGTGGTATAATTAATAGTAACTTGCCACGTTTTCCTGGAAACCTCGTAGATATTTTCGCGGATATTGCTTTGAGTGAAAACAATCGTGATATTTCAAGAAATTCTCGATTGGAATGAACAATTAAAACAAACATGCAAATAATGCCGCTTGTTATATATACATATATATGATCTCGCTGATATAATAGATTCGAAAGTTGAAATTCATATTATTCCGCCATGTATTTCCGTGCGATTTACCAGTCGACGCGGGCGGTAAACGCGCCTCGAGTTTTCCGCGTATAAACGCTTCGATCGCGGACTTGACGACATACAGGTGTTCCTACCGTCTAGTATTTTACATCTGGCTGACAGAGAGATGTTGCAGCAACGCCCAGCATGTCTTTCGAGAAGAGACAACATGCGCGACATTCGCGCAGGAAAGCACTAATTCATCGTACAAACGCTGCACTTTGTCGTGCGAGCGGAATAAATTGCCGACGTTCGTCAACAAATTTACTGGCATTACCGTAATGCGGCTATCATCCCGGTAATCTTTTACTCGAAATCAAACAACGTCGGAGGTAAACTCGCGTTTGAACTCGCGGAAAAAGGATATGATTGCGAGATCGCGGAAGTAATATTATTACAATAATCTGTTAAAAAAATAATCGGACGAGTGGTACGTCACGTTTATCAACACTTTAACTGTCATTGGTAGAATGAACATTTTCTTTCATTTCTTTCTAAATGAAACAATAACATAAAAACATATAATTACCAATTAATCAACTATACAAATCGAAGATTATTTAATAGAAAATTAATATTGTATTTATTTTAAAATTATCGATCCAGCGTGCTAATGTCTTTTTAAGAAGCTCTTGCAAATGTCTCCCGAATAAATTCATTGTAATGGTACTCATTACAGCTTTTGGAAGTAAATCGCATCTCTTTGTCACAAAGTTGCTGCCTACGATCCATTTGCGCGGGTATTCTACTGTATTAAAACAATCGTTCAATAATCGTCAATAGTTATGCGGGGCGAGCTGACATCGAGGCGGAAACGTGAATTTCAGCTGGGCGCGTTAATCATCTGCCCGTCCGAATACGATCCATCGTGGCCGTCAATCGGCTCGGAAATAGTAGCCGCCCAAAAATATCTCGGTCCGTTAAGTGCATTATGACGTCGGTGCGGGTAGATTAGGCCAATGGCCTCCTATTATTAGTCAATTTATCGTCGTTGTTTCTTCTGTAAACAGTTGAATCCAAGATGGTTGATCAATCGCCCTCCCTCCACCCTCTTCACTGTCTAATTTATCAGAGACAAACTTGTTCGTGCCACATTCGCTGACATGTCGAATCGTACAATAAGAAAAAAGATCTGTCATGAACTATTAATTTATTTATAATTGTACCCGTATTTTATTTTATTTCTTTGTCAGAACGATCGATTTATAAATCTAGATGAGAAGACAAAAGTACTTTGAATATTTAAAAAATTGATTAACATTGTGCGCTATATATAGAGCCAATTAAATCCTTTTGTCCAATAAAATATTTTTCATTTTATTTTATATATTTTGTATCGTTATTAAACAATTTTATTTTTTTTACACATTTTATTAAAATTTTTCACCATTATAAAGACTATATTGTATTACTTAGATTTTCTATGTTTGACAATTATCGCTTCCAGTATCATAGAATTTAATTGAATGCGATAAATGATCAAACCATTAATTGTTTCTCAGATTCCACGCGGAAGCTACAGGATGTTCTGACTGAATTTTGTGGGAGCGCCACGACGCCGGGCGGCGTGCCGAAATATCATCCGGACGGAGTGAGTCATAAAGATTGGTTCATATTTTACTCATATAGCCGATAGCATACGTATCTAAAATCTATTTCCCTTCTAAAAAAAGAACGTATCGTTTTAAATATAGGACAAAATTAGGCGGAAAATGTATCTCTAACATGAAAGTGGTAAATATTTTATACAATGTTATCTTAATTTTTCATCCGATACACCCGTCGTACTCTATTCGGTAAATGTATGTATTTTTGTAAAGTATACGGTTTGATTCCATAGAAATTTTCGCAAGTTTTCTGTGTAAATCGATAGATGTGAAGGATTCCGCCGAGCGAACGATTTCGTTGCCGTCTCTCGTCTCAGGTGCACTTCAGCCTTTCTATAAAATGAAATTGAACGATCGGTGTGGTCGAGAGTGCACTTGAGCGACAAATATCTACTTAACTTGTACGCAAGCTGTTTAAACAAGTTTCCAGGAAATGTGATATTTTACGGGAATCCGCGACAGAGAGATAATATCCAAAGCGATTTACATATAAAATAATTAGTACTTTTAGCTACGTCAGGAATGAGTTTTTGATTTTACAAAAAGTTAGTCGCGCGGCATCGCTGCAGCTTTCGTCGATGATAAATTTCTTGTCGTCGTGTTAAAGAAAAGGACTATATATTCTTCCGGAGAAAGCGGTTTCCTACCGTTTTATCTGTCTTATATAATATCGATTGAAGTACTGTCAGATTATACAAATGTACAGTTCATATTTTGAGTGAGAGGTATATAAGGACGACATAACGCGATAGTATAATACCGTCCGCAGACAGCGAGGAAGCATTTGTTCCGTAAAATCGTAAACTATTCCCGTTGGAATAACATTCAGAACACGTACGATGTTCACGGACAGGTATAGAAGTTATTGCGTGCTCGCGTTATATAAGAAGGACAGACGTGTAAGAGAGAGCTCCGTTCGACGACGCATTAATGATCGACTTGAATTCCTGATAGTAGTCACATGCAAAATTTATTTCTTCCACGAAAAGAGGTTTCTTGCTGGAAATATCAAGCGTATATGCATGGACCATTAATTTAAGATATATATTTTATGAGAAATTTAAAAAGAACCAAAAACGGATCGTTGAGCCTCTTTCCCTTATTTCTCCGTATATACATTCTACATTTTTTCATCACGTGCATTTTTTTTTTCAACAACGCGGCGCGACGGCTTTTCAGAGCTCGCATTTTCGCATCAGACTTTTAATGTTTCTCGGTACAGATAAACTCATGTGACCGCGCGCGCGAATTTATCTCGCGGATTTCACGACGGAACTAGAGTCGTTCCTCCAACTTCGGCGCCCCCGCGCCTATTTCCTGACAGTCGTTTTACTTTTGCGTCGGCGTGCGATGTATTGCCGGAACAATGGTGTAACATCGGGGCGCTACATACGTCTGTAAACGTAAACACGCGAGGGGAGAGCACATTTAGCTCTCCCGAGGAATATTAACTCCGAAACTAAAACAGATTGCCGAAGTTGCGAGTGTTGCGACGATGCTCTTTTTTCCGGAGTATACCCGCCGACATCGTGTTAACCGTTCGTCACAGTTTGTCGTAACACGCGTTGCATCGCGATGACGTATATCGATCAGGGGGCTACTTTTTTACGCGTATCTCTCTCGTGACTAATGGAGCAACTTTTTTTGCAAAAATTTTGCATCAAGTCTCTGCGCGAACGATCACCAGTTTTATCACAAATATTTAAACGGCCAATCAACGAAATACGCGCGCTGTTCAGAGTCACGACAATTTTAATGGAAAAATTCACTTCTATCATTTTTGCCTGGGGGAACAAGATCGAAGACGCATCTTTTGTGAGTATTCCCTTCTGATAATGGGACAGTTATTACATTACAACGAGCGACAAAATACATCCGCGTAAAAACGATTTGAAACGTTTATTCCCGTCTAAATTTCCGAACCCTTATAAAACTGTTCTGAGTTACAACTAGAAGCCTGACTCATGGTGGTAATTGGTTGCGCCGGTGGCGCGTTCCAAGTTGGGGTTCCTTTGAGGAGCGATCTAAATTACTTTCTTCTATGTCGCCGGCGCGGCGTCTTTCCGCAAATTTCGACCGCGCGACTTTCGGAGCAAATTTACTGCCCCGCCATCGACTGCGGCATAATCCACCGTTCCCGTGTGACATTCTCATATGAGCGACCGCGGGTCGGAATTTCACGACGCATTAATCTTGGCGTAATTATTTTAGAAACGGCAGTGAAGCTAGGACTTCTTAGGTATGGGGTTGTAAAAAATTGCGACGTCAAAGCGCTCGGATTTTATGCTAGACATTTGTCTAAAGTTTCACGTTTCTTAAAACGTAAGAAGATGACTTGTACAACTCATACGTATATACACCGTAATAATGCCTCAAAAGCTTTCTGTAAAGGTGGTAGAGATGTGAGGCGTGTTACAGAGATTCGCAAGACACCAGCGGAACTTGTTCGTTGGAGAGCACAGAAATTGCATTATATTCTCACGAAGAGTGTTACAACCTCACAACGCTTACTCATCTTATTGCATACATAATAACAGTTAAAATCCATTAACGTTGAGCTATTGTCACGAGAACGATTTCGTAAACTTTATTCAGCCAAGGACGCTATTCGCCCGGGATTGAACACATCACTCGATTTATCGTAATATACATAGAGTGATAGCTGGTAGGAAAATATTGTCGACTACGGTGCGCGATTACATGAGGCAATATTGGCGAATTTAACGTGAAATTTAATACGAAAAGTCTTGATGAACTTTAAGTAATAATTTAAATCTCACTTTCTGCATCTTTAAAATATATTATATATTAATCTACTTTTTAAATGTATATTTCGTACTTTTAAACACTTCGTGTATAAAAGAGAGAAAAACGTGATAAAATATATAAAGATGACTAAGTTCAATTTTAAGTTTAACTTTATATACCTTTGTGAACCGGAGAAGTCCTACACTATTTAGAAATCTAGTAAATTATTTTCACTGGCGCGATATCAAACACGAGATACTACAGTGACAAAGCCACTGAAATCGGACCGACCGATATTGCGTCAACATTTACAACCGGGATCCTTTGTGCAACAGAACGCAAACTTGTGGAGGACCTAACCCCCGCGGGATACGACAATCGACATCGAATGCTAAGAGGCTACGGTCGGTTATGAGATCAAGAGGTCCGGAAATTCCCCCGCGGACGCGGTCTTTTGCTGTGAAGCGTAACCGATGTCGAGAACTCATAATTGGAGATTCCACCGAGGGACAAGCGTCAACGGCCGCATAAGAGGTCACAATCAACCGCCATGCCAGTTCGAAATGCGTGCTGCAGCACTCGATTATAGTTAGTCGAATTTGCGATTTGCTTGCACCGAAATCTCACGTTGTAAATGTATTGAATTATTTGAAAAGCACAAGTTTTCTACGATTAATCGTCACTAATTGATCGTCACATTATTAATCTATTAAGAGGGCAGTCTAGGTCTATTTCGCCATATTTTCAAGAATTTTTTGTCTTAGTAAAATGTCTTGAAATATCTCGAAACTTTTATATATTATCTCACATATATTGAAGTACATAAAAAAATTTGTTTTTTCTTATTTATGGCGACAAATGTAAGGGTATC